GGAGGGAGGAAGGAAGAGAGGAAAGAAAGGAGGGAGGGAGGAAGGAAGAAAGAAAAGTATGAAGGAAGGGAGAAAAGAAGGGAGGGAGGAAGGAAGTAAAGAAAGAAAGAGGAAGGAAGGAAGGGAAGGAGGGAGGGAGGAGGAAGAGGGGAAAGAAAGGAAGAGAAGGAGGAAGGAAAGAAAGAAAGGAAGGGAGGGAGGGAGGAAGGGCATGTGAGTATATTCCATAGAGTATATGGAGGGGAGTAAATTCCAAGAAGACTGGAGAGATGAGAAGGGCCATGTTGTGAAGAGCCTTGGTCCCAGAGGTAATGGGGAACTGCTGCAGCTCATTGGTGATGCTTTAGAACACTCAGCGTGGTTGCTGGAGGGAGGATGGAAGGAGTGATGAGTTGCTTGGCCCCAGCTGAGCCTCTGCAGGCAGCCCCTCTCCCCAGGCGGCATCTCTGGCACCAGAAGCTCACACCTGATCCCGTTATCCCTCCTTTCTGTTTCCCCCCAGGTCTGGCTCAGGCCAGCTCCACCCCCGGCCTCAAGTGTGGCCTCTGTGGCCTCCTCGCCGATAGCCTCGCCAACCTCCAGCAGCACATGGCCCTGCATGGTCCTCTGCCCGCTCCAGACTCCAGCCAGGCGCCCCCGGGCCCCGAGTCACCCACTCCTCCAGACGCTTTGGCCAAGAAGGCCCCAGCTGAGACAGAAAATGGGGAAGCCCAGGCTGCCCCCCAAGAAAGCTGCTCCTCCTCTTCCTCATCCTCTGGTGAGGGGACAGTGCCGCTCCTGAGGATCAAAGAGGAGGCTGGGGAGGGCCAGGGGACGGAGCCTGAGATGGCCAAGAGCCACAGCCGGGCCGAGCCCGGCGCCAGCCCTCAGTCAGAGGCCGAGTCGTCCTCGAGGACGTCCTCCCCACAAAGCCTGGCGTCTGTGAAGGTCAAATCAGAGCTGGCCAGCCCCACACCAGGCTCCAGCCCCGTGCCCAGTGAGGCGGGCGTGGGCTCCTCTGGAGGCACCATCTTTCTGCCCCAGTACATGTTTGGCCCTGAAACCTCTGTTGTCCCTCAGGCCTCTGAAATCCTGGCCAAGATGTCCGAGCTGGTTCACAGCCGGCTCAAGCAAGGCCACGGAGGGGTGGCACCAGCCCTGTACCCAGGGACCCCTGCGCCCAAGGGAGCCACCTGCTTCGAGTGCGAAATCACCTTCAATAACATAAATAACTACTATGTGCACAAGCGTCTGTACTGTTCCAGCCGCCACATGGCAGAGGACAGTCCCCCCGGGGCCCGAAAGCCAAAAGTGGCCGCCCCCCCCAAGGGTCCCTCAGGCACTGCGGTCGCCCCCGCCAGAGCCATCCTCTCCCCCCAACCCCCCGAAGGGCAGGGCCCACCCGCCCCTGCTGAGGGTGAAGTGGAGGGAGAGCACCTGTCCCCAGTGGCGGAGGCCAAGGCTGAGGAGGCAGGAGGGGTAAAGGAAGCCTCTCCGGAGGTGGACGGGCCGGGACGGGGCAGTGAGGACAGCCAGAGCCCTAGGAGCTCCGTGGACGACACCGATGAGGATCCCATGAAGACCGTGTGCGAGGCCTGCAACATCCGTTTCAGCCGCCATGAGACCTACACGGTACACAAACGCTATTACTGTGCCTCTCGCCACGACCCCCCTCTGCGGAGGCCTGGAGGTCCCAATAAGGTGGCCTTCCTGCCCCAGCCAGTACGCACTCGAAAACGGCGCAAACTTTATGAAATCCATGCCGCCACCAGCAATGCTGGCCTGTTGCCAGCAACTCACCCACCGCCACCACCGCCACCACCACCACCTCCCCTTGGGGAGCTGCCTGCCTCCCCACAGCTGGGCGTAAGCCCGGCCGATGCACTGGGGCTGGGTACCCGGCCCGATGTGCCTCCCGCCCTCCTGCTGCCTGTGGGCAAGGCTCCCACCTCGGCCCCCTCCCCAAGCTCCAGCCCGGATGCAGATGGCCCCATCGACCTAAGCAAGAAGCCGCGGCTACACAGAACTGAGGGGGGGCCTCCAGCCCCCCCTCCACCTCCGCCTCTGCTCCCCCTAACCGACTACCATGAGTGCACGGCCTGCTGCGTCAGCTTCCACAGCCTGGAGGCCTACCTGGCCCACAAGAAATACTACTGCCCGGCTGCCCCCCTGCAGCAGAATGCCTTGGAGCAGCTGCAGAAGATTCAGGGCCTGGCCAAGCCCCGCCTGGGTGGAGAAGGACCCCGGGGAGTGCCTGGGGAGGAGCTGGAGGGTGGCATGCGGGTGAAAGTGGAGAAGGGGGTGGCATCAGCCAACCCAGGACCAGGCAAAACCTCAGGCCTGCCAGTCACTTACGCTGGTGGGGACCCCCTGCACCGCTACCCAGGCCCCAAACCCCTTCACCTCCCTGGTGGGAAGCCTCCGCCCCCAGTGGTGTGTCCCTACTGTCCTCTCAACGGGGCCATCAAAGGCGACCTGATCGAGCACTTCCGCCACGCGCATGGCCTCCTGGTGGCCAAGCCGGTGGCAGGACACATACTGGCCGAGGCGACTGCACCCCACACCCGGACGCTGGCCGAGAACAGCCTCCCGGCTCCTCTCTCGCTGCCCCCAGCGACATCTTCCTCCTCCTCGTCCTCGTCCTCCTCAGCCTCCTCTTCATCTTCTTCCCCACAGCCAGGCCCCAGGCTCCCTCGGGACAGCTTCAATGGTCATGAGCTCAAGGAGTCCCCAGCCCCAGCCAACGGCAGTCCCCTGCCCACCGGCTCTCCCCGGCCCGGCCTGCCCCTGTCTCCAGCCACTGCCCCAGCCCTCACCCTCTCGCCAGTGCCTGAAGCTGTGCTCCAGCCTCCCACCCCACCCATGTACACAGACAAGGGGGTTCAGACCCCCAGCAAAGTCGCGCCTGCCACCGTCCCCAACGGCAACCACAGATACTGTCGTCTGTGCAACATCAAATTCAGCAGTCTGTCCACGTTTATAGCACACAAGAAGTATTATTGTTCCTCCCACGCCGCAGAGCATGTAAAATAATCCTGAACTCCCTCCCCTCTTTCCTCTTCCTCCCCTTTCCCCCTCTCCTCCATGCCTGTCCCACCACACTACAGACTGATGACCAGTTGACACACCCTCAGCCCTGGCCACGGCCGGCAGACCAGGACATCTCAGCACGTGGCCGGAGGGGAGAGGATGGTGGCGGCAGCAGCGGGGGGCCTGTCCCCCAGAGCACTACGGCAGGGCAAGACATCCCCTTCTGCCCCAGGAATCTTTCCAACAAAGCACAAGGCATTGATCACTCAGTCGGGCACCTCCCGGAGCTCAGAGCCGCCTGGATGGACCCCCTTTGCCCCTGAGCCCAATGACCGAGGAGGTGGGGTGGGTTGGCCAGAGAAGTGGTTCGCTACAAAGAAAGGCAGGGTTGGGCGGAGGGGGGCAGAATGAGACCCCAAACCCTCGGCACTTAATAAAGAATTACAGTTTGATGATGAATGTTGGTTAAGAGCCTAGTTGTCTGGGAGATGGGGGCAGGGCAATGGGAAAGTGGCAGGGTGGGGCTTAGCAGTGGGTGGCCCCACTCACTTGCGGCCCCTATAGGGCCTCATCAGGCCCCAGGGTGGGGTCAGATGATAAAGATCCCCTCTTTTGCTAGTTTGGCCTCTAAGAAGACAGTGCACCACACCACAGGCCCCATCCCAAGGCCTTCAAGTATATCTGCCTCCTTAGATCATAGAACATAAAACTGGGAGAGACCCAAGAACAGGGGTTCTCAGCCTTTTTTGTTCTGGGACCTCATGGGCAGGCTGGTGAGGCCCCTCAGGCCCTCCTCAGAATCAGGTTTTTAAAAGCATAAAGTGAACTACAAAGGAAGTCAATCATATTGAAATATCAGAATATTTCAAAAGCAAATTCACGGACCCCAAGTTAAGAACTCCTATCCTAGAGATCTCATCTACTCCTTTATTTCACAGAAAAAAAAGTTATAACTTGCCTAAAGCATGCCAGGGGTTGTCTTAGCCAACCTCCTCATTTTACAAATGAGGAAACTGAGGCCCAGTGAGCTTAGATGGATCTACTGCTGTTCTGCCCAGGTAAATCTGAGGTCCAAGGAAAGGCTTCTAACATTCGAGGTCCTGCATGTGAAACTGCCCTGTATCTCACCCAAGGTTTCTGTCTCCCTCAGAGCTGAATGGGAGCCCCTTCCTTCACTCTCCCTGTCCCTGGAAAGTGCCTGGGGTTCAGCATCTCCCTGCTTTCTCAAGGAGAGGAGGCCTGCTTCCTTCCTCTGTACTTAGGGTAGAATGGAGGCTCCAAAGCTCTGGTTGGACTTAGATGTCCAGGAGAGGCAGAAGTGTAGACAGCTTCTGGTCCTCACTGTCCCCTGCCATCCGGGGAGCAGGAGCTGGTTGTCCATCTGGTTGGGGAAGGCCTTGAGGGAGTCATTTAGGACCAGAGTCTGGGCCAGATCCTGGCCCAGCACCTTCAGGTCCTTTACATAATGTCCCAGTGTAGTGCTTAGCACAGTGCCTGGCACATAGTAGGTGCTTAATAAATGCTTGCTAAGTGTTCTTCAATAAGTTCACTGGATTTGGTACAGAGGACAGGTTCTAATCCTAGATCTGCCACTTGCAGGCTGTGTGATCATGGATAAACCACTTTCTGGCCTCAGTTTCCTCCTCTGAAAAATGGTGGGGGGAGGGCAGACTAGGGACCTATTAGGGTCTCCTCTAGCTCTGAATCCTTTGATCCCATAAATCAGCAGTGTTTGTACCCATGGTAACTTAATAGATCTACCTTGACAGTCATGTCTTGTCCAAGCAAGCTCAACCTCACCCCCCACCCACGGCTGGCCCGCAGGCCTTCTCCCTTGCTCTGAACCCGTTGGACAGTAACTCCACTCCTCGGGCTCGGTCTGCCTCTGGTCGCTGAGAGAACCTAGCCCACTGGTACCTAAGGCTGGATGAGAAGTAGACGCCATTCCACCATGATTCTTTCTTCACCCTTCCCATCCAGGGGACACCATCAATAGCATTGCTATATGCTTGCTCTCATCTCCAGATCTCAAAGCCCTCTCCTAAAAGCCCCTTTGAGGGATGCAGGACAGGAAGCACTTTTAACAGCTTTGGAGAAAACTGAAGTTGCCTCCATAGGGTGGCGGGTGCAGCATTTGTCCTGGGTAGCTCAGTGATGAGTTCAGCTAAGTTGGGGGGAGGTGAAGAGGGGCACACAAGATGACTTTGAACTCCCTTTTCCCTACATCCCCATCCCCAGAGGGTTCAGTTCAGTAAATATTAAGTGTCTGTAAGAGTCAGAACAAGTACACAGACATGATACAAATTAGAAGGGAAAAGTCCGTGGATCACCTGGTGAGTTCACATGATCCACTAGGTTAGCTTTAATAAGAGCCCACCTGACCAGAGACGAGGGAATCACTTGGGTACAGATAACTACTATATATAGAAAGATCTGCCTGCTGGATATCTCCAGCTCAATGTCCTGTTGCACCCCAAACTCAGCAAGTCCAAAGAAAAACCTCAAATCTGCTTCCCCCCAAATTCCCTGTTTCTGTTAATGGCATCACTGTCCTCACTTGTCATCCTGGATTCTTCCTGTCCCTTCAAATCAGATAATATCAAATCAGATATCTGTAAAGTGCTTAGCACAGTGCCTGGCACAAGGTAGGTGAGTAATCAGTGCCTGCTCCTTTCCTCCCTCTCTCCTTTCTTCTCCCTTGTCTAATCCAAGAGTCTTTTTGATTCTACCTCCATGTCATCCCTTCCATCTGGTCTCTTCTCTCCACTCGCATAGCCACCATCCTAGTCCAGGGACTCTGACTTGTCCTATTGCAATCAAAGCCTTCTGATTGATCTCTCCATTTCCAGTCCCTCCCCTCTCCATTTTCTATACAACTGCTACAATCATCTTCCTAAAGCCCAGGTCTGACCTTATCACTTCCCTGGTCTAAATTCTTCAGTAGCTCCCATTGGCTGTAGGATAAAATCCAAATTCTTCATGCTGTTATTTAAAGCCTTTCGCTGCTTGGTTTCAACTTCCCTTTCCACACCCACCATTCATTTCATTCCCCTTCAGGTATGCCGTGTTTTAGCCAAAGTGGCCCATTTGCTGTTTCCCAGCCTTGACCTCTTCTCTCAACTTTGCCAGTGTCCCACTTGGCCTGAAAAGCATTCCCTCCTCGCCGTCAGCTTTTCAACTCCTCACCTCCCTTGTAGGCTCAGTTCGTGTGCCATACCCTATGAGGGAGCCTGCCTTGCTACCTCCCCAACTTTCAGTGGTTAATGGCTTTCTCCCTCTCCATGTTTGCTTGCTTTTGCTTGTGCAAATGTCCTATCACCCAGGACAGTGGGTGCCATTTTGGTTTTTGTTTATGCTTTCGTCTTTGGACTCCTAGATCATATTACAAAGACTACCTTGCTTGTGGTAGGCACTTAATAAATGCATTTTGGATTAAATTCAATTAAATTTGAATGGAAATCCCATCACAACTGTACATTCCCTATTGAGTCCAGGCCCTCAGGGAGTTGAAAAGTTGGGAAAGGCTCAAAGGGGAGTCTGGTAATGTTGACATGCTCTGTCTTCCTGTGAGCTTGGGAACTGGGGGCCCCTCAGAGTGCTTCAGGACTCCTCCAGGGCCACCCAGCAACCTTTTCTTACTACTCTCTCCACCTTCAGTCAGTCAGTCATTCATTCTCTAAACAGTTAAGAGCCTACTATGTGTTAGGCAAATACTATTGTAAAATTAGGTTAGGATCATGGTCTGATGGAACAAATTTAAATGCCCGAGCTTATAATATTTCTGGCCTTGAAAGTATAGTTATGAAACCTATGAATGACTCATTATTATGCCCCCAGTTAGAGAGAAAAACTCTTGGCTGGGGATTAGGTCACTCTCGCCAATGGCACTTTCCCGAATTCTCATGCCCTGAACAAAGGGACACGAAGAAATACTCCAGATGGGATCAACTATGGGTGTTTATGAGAAATAAGATTAGCCCAGTCTGTAACAGAATAAAATGACATCCTACAAGTAAAAGGCTCTAGCCTTGAAGGGGATGAGGATCACCGTCTTCTCCCCATTCCCCACAAGTGTCTGAATTTGTTGGGGTTTTTTCTGTTACTTGAGTGTTTGAGTTAACTCTCTGGGCTCCCTGGATTTGGGGATTTGAGGAGGGGGAATAGCCAATGTCACCGTTGTTAGAGCTGCCACACTACTGCTCCAGATGGCGGGTGGGAAATGCTGCAACCTCCCTCCCCTTAATATGTTCTCTCTCTTCCTGTTATAGTCTCTCCTCTTAGTACCACCCCAGTCCCAAATCGTGCAATACTTCCTTGCCTCCGAAGATGAGTAGAAAAGCTCCTAATCTCAGAAGTCTGTGTGGGTCCAGGCTATTTCTTTCCCCGTCCACATTAGGAAGGGGTTTATAGGGTCAGCCCGTGGTCTCAGCTCCTATCTCTTCCCTCCTAAATCCTATAAGATTATAGGATTTTAGACCTGGAAGGGACTGATCTCAGAGATCAACTAGCCCAACCCCCTTCGGATGAAAAATAAAAGGGCAGTGATACGCTGAAAGGGACATAATTCATAAATGGCAGGATCCACACCGAGGTCCTCTGAATCCAAACCCAGGGCTCTTTCCATTCTATGACCCTGCCTCCTATGGGTTTGCTCTCTGATTCTTTGACTTTAAGTTCTCCTCTCCCCTCCATCCCCAGTTCCAATCTGTCTTGGGGCTGTCCCTGGAATAGCCCTGCCAGTATCTTGTACCCACCCACCCATCTGCCTTACCAAGGGCTAGAAGGCTAATGAGCTCCCACTTGTGCCTATGCGCAAGGATGAAAGCGTAAACTATGATTAGGGTTATTATTCTTCTTGATTACCTCCATCTGATTTCCCTGGTGGATTTCCCTAATGAGCAGGTTAGCATGAATCCACAAGACCCCAGGAGCCTCGAGCTTCCAGGACTTAGGCTATGCGGGTTGGAGTGCCCCCCGCAACTCCCCAGCTCAGAAGAAGATGGATGGGGGCTCTTCCCTCAGGGTAGGAGGGCGGGCCAGGGGTACAGGGTGGGCGAAGTGGGGAGGTGGGCCCCAGGGCTGATGGGAAGGCAGAAGTGGCCAAGAAGGGCTAGCACAGAGGACCAGTGCTAACCCCAAGACTGCAGCGCTCTGATTGCTCAGCTCCAGTGCTGATTTGTGTGTTACTCTGCATAAATTTGCATATTGAGTTCAAAGAGGCCCTGAGTCTCTAAAATGAAATGAATTCATTACTCCAGACATTATATTCAAATCCATTATTCAGGTTAGGGCTCACCAGCCACATAGACTATTCTAAGCCAATCAATTTAATCACATTGCAGATTAGGAGAGACAGAAAGTTCCCATGCACATTTACTGGCATTGGCTGTGTGCACATATACACACACACACACACACACACACACACACACACTTGTGCGTGCGCCTATTTGTTCACA